CCCAGAGTGAGACAGACATCCTCACGCTGTACCACTGCGATTTCTCCATGTTTGGGTTCTTCTAGGGTCTCACAGATATGGAAGAGTTTGTTATTTGCAAAGCGTTAAATGCGCTGACTTGTCTCACCGAACTTGGTTTACTACAGAAGTCAACTCTCTACGACTTTACCGCCGACATTGTCGTTTTCTTGTGTCATCCGGTAAGTCAGCATCGTCTCTTCTCGACGACATTGCTAGACGATACAGAAATGATATCTGCAAACTAAGCCTCACTTTGTTTCACTTTGTCTAGCGCTAAAAGACTTCAAAGACTTTCAATTAATATTTCATTGTTTTTTATAGAATGTTTGGGTCCGTTATGGTGCTGTTGGTTTCGTTACTGCTGTTGCTGGGAGTCTTGGTGTTGTTGATATTCATTGTAAATTGCTTCCTCTATTGCGACCATTTGTTAAAGAAAAGATCGTCCAGCCTGAAAGAGACATGTTGTTGATCAGTGTTCTTAGGGAACCTGTGTCGCGCTCCGTTTTCGATTCTGTCGTACGGTCCCAACATGTGAACGCATTTTTTGACAGGTAATGCAAGACATCTATGGTTGACTATATATACATGGTTAGTCCAGTGCTACCTTGAAATAATAGGAAGATAACAATAGATAACAATAACATATCACGTACATCAGCAAAGGGAGATAATAGCCAGTTTTAGAAGACCTAGTTACTTCTAGGACAAAGTAGGATATAGCAGGATGTAGTAGGATGTAGTTGTACTGGAAGTCATAAAATCTTCACTTTTAATCTGACAATATTTAATCTGCCAATATTCAATCATTTCCAGCCTTCATGATCGCCAGATAACGCGACAAATGAACAAACAAGGGCAGAAAGTTGATTATCCAAAACTTGAGAAGGACAACCTTTCTCATATGTTTCGTAAGTTGATTGCCCAGGGAATGAACGAACGTCAAGAAGATATGTTGATACATCTTAAGTCAGTCATCTTGAAAATACATCATTCAAAAAGCACGTAAGTCAATTTCGTTTTCCTTGCAAACTACCAGGAAGGTTCAAGGTTCTCTTTCTGATCAAGTTCCGAAGTTTAAAGGCTTATATCTTTAGGCAGTTGAATTTTAATGTGAAATCTTTTTTCAGAGCTTCTGAACATAGCGACCATAACGATGATCCTTTAGGACCTGGTGTTGTGGATTTGAAGACATTAGGCAGCAGTATCGTACGACGTCACGCCGAGCTTGTGGTGAAGACTGAGACCAAGCCTGACGTCACCACAGTGCATACGAAAAATGTAAAAAAAACGAAGCGAGAATATCAGTCTCCACTTGTACGTTGTTTGGAAATGATGTGCTTCTAATTCATTTATTAATAACTTAATTGTTTCTAATGTATTAATGCATGTAAGTTCTTTTATCAATTTGTCCTGATTATCTTTATTAGAATGCTGAATGGAATCAAATGTTTGGCAACACAAACCAGACAACTGATGCTCCGTCACAACCTCGTCATGGGGAAGTTGTTCCTCCAAAGAAACCCCTGGGACGGTCTGTCTCATTGCCTCAGGTAAATCACAATCAGCTCTAAACTTCACGTACAATTCTTCTAGTAATCTCTGCAAAATATCCCATGTTAATATGTCGATATTGTCTTTGCTACAGTCAGGGAAACCCAAGCAACGAACGAACTCATCTCCCTCCAGCGATGATACAAACGCTAGCCCAGTCCCTCATTCTCGCACACCTCCCGCTCAGCCAAAGAGCAAAGCAAAACAAACCATGAAGCCATCGCAACCGGAGCCAGTAAGACCTACACCAGGATACAGAAGAAATCTACGAGATTTGGTTAAACATAAAAGGGAACAATACGCCGAGGGTAAACCTGACATATCTTAACTTTCTTCTAAGGATCAGTCCAGTGTCATTGGTTCAGTGTTATTATACAGTAGGTTACACTATTGGTTCTGCAGAGGATTACGTAAATCCTACGCAATTCTTCCATGTAAAGATCGTTCATAGGCAACGTTTCCAAAGGTTTGTTTTTGTGTATTTAGAGGTGACAACAAGGGAGTTAATCGAAGAGGTTCTGAACACTCATAAAAAGGGGCAAATAAGGTGAACATGTGATATCTTTTCATTCTATTATGCATTGTTTGGAATACACCAACCTTTAGCCAAAAAAGTGTTACCAGTTGTCTCATATTTTGTAATCCTTATTTCTTAGACGCCCAAAGGGAACTTTGTTAATTCATCTCCACGAGCACAGAGCTGCTGTAAACAAGTACGTCTCGGACTAAATCCGTTAATTGTATTCGGTAAAAGATCCATATCTCTATGCATGATTGGTTGATGATAATTAATGACTGTAACCATTTACCCCCTAGACTTCATGTTTGTCCCAAGACGTCCCTGTTTGCCTCTGCATCTAACGACGGGACAGTAAAACTCTGGGATGCTCAGCGTTTGGAGAATGAGGGAATGGTCGTGAAGTCTTCTTTTTCATATCAACTTCAGCAAGGAGAAACAGCAGCACGTAAGTGAACCCAGCTACGAACTTGACGAAGTAGCTGTTATGTTATGTTATGTTACGATACGATATTGTATTGTCCAACCCTGATTAGTTCTTGAAAATTTATTGGACTAACTGATAATTCTTCACTTGTATTAAAAGGTGGAAAGGTCAAGGGTTTAGTATTTTTACAAGGAAAAAAGTCGTTAGCATGTGCAACAGACAAAGGTGACATTTATGTCATAAAGTAAGTATAACTGCTCCAGTTTTCACAGCCTGTTCTTTGTTCTTAAAAAGGTCATCCTTAAATACACAACCGTTATAGTTTGCAGCGAGAATATCCATTAAAACACTTTTCAATCATTTGCTTCTATAGTCCTGAAGTCATACCTGCCGCAACATCGTCTCAATGTCCACAATATAAAGCTCTTGTTAAGCTGAATACTAGATTGGATACAGAACAAGGCGGTGATTTGGTGGATATGCATCAGTTTGATACTGGTAATTATTGTCCATGGTAATCCTATTAGTAATATACTGTTCTGGATTTGATATAGTAAGTTAAATCGTACTTTCTAGCGATAGTTGGTCTGTAAAACGCTAGAATACGCAGCGAAAGGTTTATACTACTTTACTTTTCTTTACCTTGAAGCGTCTCATTCAGTGTTAGCTTATGCAACAGTGCGTGGTTTGATCTATGGTTGGGATATACGAACTTCAAAAACGATATGGAAATTACAAAATGATCCTGCTTTAGGTAAAGCAAATAACTGTTGATCTATTACACAGATTTTGATTGGTCTTAATTTGGAAGGGCCATTATGATTCGTTAGTTTAGAAGCAACATGACGTGAGTATCTGTTTGTTTTCCAGGTTTGATAACATCGTTTGTGGTAGATCCCTCGCAATGCTGGCTAACTGCTGGAACTTGTAATGGTGAATTAGTCTGTTGGGATATGAGATTTCAACTTCCTGTTGCAAAACTTACTCATCCTAGAGGTTTGATTGTCAGTCTATTGCTTGGAAATGATATCTTTCACGTCTTGTGGCTTGCGAGCAAGCAATGCATGACAGATCAATAATTATTTCAGGTGCTCGAGTACGACGTCTTTCTGCCTCACCATTGCTGCAGTGTAAGCCATCTTGGGTGACTTGTTCTGTTGAAGGAAATAACGAGGTTTCTGTGTGGAACCTGGAGACTGGTGCTTGTGAGGAATCTCTGTGGGCAAGTCATGCTCCAGCGCTCTCTCAGACACAGGTAAGAGAATGATGTATGGAGATTACCATACAATCATTGGCTGTCACACCTCGCATGTTGATTCTTGTTTACTCAGAGAAGCATGACTCTACAAGTGAATTTCGAAACTTTTCTTTAGGTTTCACCTCATGCTGTTTACGGAATTTACGCTAGTCCCCCCGAAACTGGTCAGTTCATCCTCACCGCGGGCTCTGACAGACGTATTCGTCTCTGGGACTTACAGTCTCCAAACGATTCTTACATCGTGGCAGGATCGTCTTCTGATAATCTAAATGACGTCGTATTGAAATACAAGTATGTCTTTTCAAATTTATTTTTCTGTTCTTGATATTCTGTATCCCCCCAAGAAAAAGGGGGCAATGTTTATAGCAAATATACAACTATAACCCGTGAAAATGTAGTGAATATATTTATTGCCTTGTGTTGAAGCTCTCGGTTGATGATGGGACAAAGGTCTTACGAGAGGTCTACTGCAAGTCAAATCAAGTCTCGCCACAAGATGACGTTCCGAAGCGTGGTCCTGATAAACCACCGACTGGTCACCATGACTGTATTACAGATCTAGCTTTCGTTACCAATCCTCAACATTTCCTCATCTCGGCTTCCCGCGATGGCGCCATCAAGATTTGGAAGTAGATGAGCTGTGAAAGTGAATGAATCCTGTCAATCATGGGGTGTGGTGTGGTGTGGTGATTTTTTGTATCGTACCCCTCCAGGAGCAATCCCGTCAAAATTGAGCGGACACTATTAGATAGATAGCTGAACATTATTCATTTTAATCGCAGAAAGGAATAAGATGTGTTTGTAAAATGTATCTGGGAAACTGCTAATTAATAACTAGTATAAAATGATTATATTTTTAAAGTAATTATCATGGCTGTTATATACAAACTGACGTACACACAAACAATTTATTCTAATGGCTTCAGTCATTGGTCATTAAAACAATTCTAATTGATATTGTATGACGATATTGATATGTAATTAGTGGTAAATAGGCGTGGTGATTATATCAATTGACTGACATCATTTGGAAAGGTATTCACAAGTAAGACTGATTTGCACTAGGAACTACAATAATGGGAAATATCTCGTTTCAATATTGGATCTAGATCTTGTGATGTTCCAATGAAAAAAATTAACAGTGGAACAGCGGGTTTTATACTGCACTATGGCCAACACTTTATGGCAGTTTTACGTCCGATCGGGGAGTTTATCCCAGCACCGGATGTTTTTCCCCGCGAGCTATATTTATTGATATATCTTGTACGGATTTCCTGATTGGTTCAACTCTGTTATTATGGTAATAAGTCGTTACTAAACGTCACTAGCCGCCGCCGTCAAGTCAAGCTCGCTTTCCTTTGAGGCTTAAAATCTTGAGAAATTTTGCCTTTAAACTTGTTTGAAATGTTGCAATTTGATAACAATTAGAAGTGGTATTAATGTCAAAGGATTGCTTCACCGGTACGTTTTTGGAGAGTGTTAAAAATCCGCGTAGTAGACGTGTTTTGTGTTGTTAAAGACGGCAGCATATTGTCCGCGTTTGGGATAGACAGCCTTTGTTTCTTGTGTCATCTCACGTTGAGCTAAAGAAAGTTGGGGATTATTTCACTTAATAACTTCCTGTACGACGAAATATTTCAAGAATGATGGTTTAAGATAGTACTGGAGAGTCTTCAAGAACGCTGACTTTGAAATATGAATGTTTTCTAAATGCAAAGGACACATGAAGGTATGCGTCATAAAACCGTATTTACTTACATTAATCTTACAGCCTCCTCTCCTTGCTCAAATAATACCATATTAGCTTAATTATGTTAGATAACTTGTGAAAATCTACTTGTATCGATAATTCAGAATTTTGAATTCCTTCAGGGACAATTTTAATAGTGCAGATTGCAGAATAGCATATAATATTGTAATTGCTTTGAAGTGCTTTGTATACAAGTTCCCATCCCGTTATTGCCAAGATTGAGGCTATAAGGCTATTTACTATGTTTGACTGTAAAATACCAAAGATCTCACGGTTTAAGTGTCAAAAAGACATTGAAATTTGTACATTCGAATCCAAATCAAGTTTGAAATATGCACTGTTGAATTTTTTGTTATTATAATAATTGTTTATATTCTTTGCAACTTGGCACAGCATGCTTCAGAGTTTTCCAGCTTTAACAAGCGACAACCAGTGTAAATAAAAGCGGAGAATTTCAAATAACAGGTTTTCCGTTTAGAAATAATAAACGAAGTATTTTGGTATGTTAAATCCGCTTGCAAAATCTATCACAATTATCGCATGGGGGGTACGATATTTGACACAATCTCATCCGAATTCCGAATTGATTCTTTGAAAGAAACTCGCAGTACACCAGTCATCGAATATTGCTTAAGTATTCCCACTTACGATTAAAATGTGATCTTTTAAAGCGATTTCCGTATCAAATATTACATTGTTATGTTTTAGTTAGGATTGCGTGAAATGGTTCGATCGATCTGTGGTAGAAATGTATCGCAAATATAAATCTCTGCGATAGAACCAGCAATATATTTATTGTTTTGCGCAAGCGAATGTAAATAATTGATTCAATCCAAAAATCTGCATGATAATAAACCGTATATTGTGCGAGACACTTTGTGGTGCGAAAACCACAACGAAATATATGAAATATTCTCCGAGTTTGTGTGATTTAGTATGCTTTTAAGGAGAAGTCTACCGTAATAAAGTGTCAATATAAATCTGCGGTTTGAGATTAGCAGAAAAATGTCCCCGCATCAAAGCTAATACTAAATAGCCATTGTAGTATATTGTTTACTTTGCCGGACAAAGCGATGTTAAATCCTCATTGCTAGAAAGTATGCATTGATTGAATTTTTGTTGGAGTTAAGTAGCGAGAAATTAAGAAAATGCATGTCCTATTTCGTCGAATGTATCAGATTACGCTGGCTAGACATTTGTTTTGAAATAGTACATGTTGTGTCACATGCTTTTGATGGTCAATATTTTATATCAATATACAGTAGAAGAAGGCAAGATCTCATATCCTATCAGGTTAAATGTCTATAAAGCTTGGAAACTCCAAATTCTTTCATTGGAGATTTGACTATGAATTTGATGAAGCAAGTGGTTAGTTGTTTTCAAAATCAACTTTGGTTGCATTTTTTGTGTACACAACTTCATATTTTTTGCTGTAATTCTCAAAATAGTTATGAAACATGGCATTCTATAGTATGGTCAACTATCCTACTATAATAATTTGTTAGTAATCTATTCACTTTCCCAATAGAGTGAAATTAACTTTTTATGGATTATACTATTAAATTTACAGTTATTGAATATTGATGTTTGTGTTGTGTGCAGGAATTACAGTATAGTTTGATAGCCTTTTAATTTTTTATTTTTTCAACTTGTTGTTATTAAGCAGTGCTGTTAATGCATGTTTACTGTTATTTTCTATGCCTATTAATATCTGAAATGGTGCTTTATGAGCTGAAAGTATTTTATCAAATTATCCTGTCATGTCAAGAGGCTCTGAAAATGACAGTAATGGTCAATGTGTAAATTAGATATCTTGTTAGCGCGACATGAAGTGTTAGGAATGGTTAGATTATTGAAGTCAGTTGTGGTGTATTTAAATATGTAATATAATACAAGGCATTTGTATTTTGCTGTCAGTTTCAAAATTGTTTAAATTCCACATAGTCTAGAAGATATAAATTGTCGTATGAGCATTTACCTTTCATATCTGTACTTACTTGGCACTTGCTAATCATATCTGTTTTGATATAATAGGTTACTGGTACATTAATACTATAGGTACAATGCTTTCTGCTATTGTTGGATCTGACAGTACAAGGTATCATGTTTCTTATTTTATTCTGTAGGATTACCCTTATGTCAGGGAAGATTGTGCAAGAATTTTACGGGGAAGAGTATAGCTCTGAAGGTTTGTCAGATTCATACCACTTTATTCTAGGACTGTTAGGAGAGCCAGTCATATCATTCAATTATCAGATACATTATTATGTTGCAGTGTGATAGTGGTAGTGCAGAAATTGATTATTAGTGGTTGCAAATGCACCCAGGTGCATTACTAACTGTCTGAGTAATGTGTTGTGTTTATTATAGGTATGCCATCATAAGGACTGTCAAAGTTCAAACAATGGACAGCCTCTTTTACTCTGCCAAGATTGTGATAGAGTGACCCATGCTGGAGTATCAAAGACTCATGCACGTTTTGAGATAAAAGGTATGAATGTGATTTTTCGAAGAGAAGTTGACAAATGCATTTGAACTTCTATTAAGTGTAATTTCCAATGGAACCTTTATTGATGGTATTTCATTTTTTAGGAAATGAAGGCTTTGAAAAAATGTCCTCAAGTAAAATAGCAGAATCGGATTCTGGTGCGGAAGATGACATTGCTCCTGTATATACGTATGTTATTATTCATTGTTATTGTTGTTATCCTTCAGAATCAACATCAATATAGTCTTGCTCAAAACCTTTTCCTCATATTTCCTGTTTTCAATGCTACAAATGTAGAGAAAAATCAAAAAGCAAAGCTCACTCAAGTAGAAGAAAGTTCATGAAGCTCACAACAGATAATTCAAAAAAGAAACCTAGAAGACACAACACAGATGTACGTAGACAACTGCTTTTTATTTACTTATAACTTAAGTTATTAGGACCATATATGAAGTCTTTATATGGCAAATAATATTCTCTTATCTGATCTTGGCTATTATCCACAATACTAGGATCCTGCAAGAGAGGTTATCAGTATAAAGATTTACACAGGATCAAATGGAGATTCCAGTCTCGAGTTGATCCCTGCATTGAAAGGAAAAACACTAAAGTAAGTGAAGAGGGCCTCTAAATGGTACTAGGTTAGAGAGTGGGACAGGAGGCTCAGTAAATTGAATGGAGATCAGAGAAGAGAGAGGAGAAGAGGAGAAGTAAAGGAGGCAAAATTGGTTGAGAAAGAAGTAGTCCAGTGACTCCAATTGTTAGTCAAAATATAGTCAATTATCTGATGATAATTTTTGTCATTTCCAAGGGATTCACTGGAACCAATCCTAGAGAAATACAATATTACTTTTGAAAGTCATTCCTTGTTTTTGGACACATCCAACACTCCACTTCCTCTAGCATTTGAAACATTTCCCTTGAGTGGGAGTATACTTCATTTTCGAGGTATGTCAGGGTCAGGGCTTGTTAAAATTGTACATGTGTAAATGACTGTTGGTAACTGTTGGTATGACTGTGTTTTAAACAAGAAGATTCTCAGTGGTGTATTTTCCTTGTAAGACAAATTTCTCTATGAATCAATTAGATCATTCCAATGTGGATAAAAGAGTCAAAGATCTGTCGAAGAACTTTGAATCACGAGGACAACCTGAGCATCCCATATCAAGAACACCATCTTTTGGTAAGAAGAAAGAAGAACAAGATGAGAGGGAAGGTGAAGAAAAGGTAAATGGAGATCAGAGGATTTGAATTCTGTCTCTTTTGCCCCCTTTTGTACTACAAGTACCTGAAGAGGACCAAAATGCCATATTTCAAGTGGTATGATTCCGATAAGTTTATGTTCAGAGATTTAGTGTCTACAATCTAATTCCTCTACGTAGTTTTGTAGTTTAATAGTCTATTCTTGAATTTTCATTTAGAAACCTGGCAAAAAGTCTGGTGCATCAACACCAGTTGACAATGACATTTCACCATCTGGCAACATTAGTTCAAGTAATTCTCAGAAAGGAAAACCATCTGGGATTCTCACTGGTTTATTTACTGGAAATCCCACTAGTCTTATGAAAGGAAAGGTAAGCATTGATGACGTTTTAAGATTGTTGCTGAAAAAGAAACAATCCCTAACTATCCTTTTTTCTTTATCCTTCTTTTTTCAATTTCCAGGAGTTGATGACCGAGAGATCTCTTCCAGAGATCTTACAATATTTCACAGTTTATGGATTGGAAAATGATTCGAGAACAAGCGCTTCAAACGAGCAACAGTTCTATCTTGTAAGAATTTTTCCCTGATTAAGATTTTTTTATTCACTTGCACTTCTCATCATTTGATTTTTCTTCCAGGAGGAATCATGGACACACGTCGTAAAAAACCATGAGGTAGGTTTTCACGTTTTTGCACAGGTAGCCCGCTATCAGGCGCACGCCGTAGTGATGTATTATATATATAATACATCACTACGGCGTGCGCCTGATAGCGGGCTACCTGTGGTTTTTGTGAACTGTGTCTGTGATTCTTACTTACAGCAGTTCAGTGGACCAGCTAAAGGCCAGCTAAACCATCTTTAATCCGCGTTATGTTAGACGAAATATAAACCTTGATTGTTTTAATAAGTTATTTAGTGTTTCAGGGAGAAACATCTCTGCACTGACGCTCGATAATAATACTCTAATCTTCTCACGCTTAGGAGTTCAGCAAGAGTGTTCGTGATCAGCAAGAAGCAATCTGGGAACTTCTCGCAACGGAAGTCGCTTATATCAGTAAACTTCAAGTTATAAAAAAGGTGAAATCATCGCCACCAATATTTGCCTCTGTTTTGATCATACGCATCTTACAAAGCGACAGTCTTGTTGCACCATGATTCTGGAAAAAAGAAATAATTTATGTCTGAGCTTTGAGACCATATATGACGAAGTGTTTATACATATTTCTTTAATTTTATCAACTAATATTCTTTAATTCTTACTTCAAGATATTCATCTTGTGTCTACGGAATATTCAAAGTGAAGGTTACCTTACTGAGGTCAGTAGAACCAAGGGCAATTAAGGGATCAATAAGAAATAATTTAACACTGATTGCAATGAAACATAAAATTTCAAATGATTCAATTTTCGACTTTCAGATTGATCTCACAAACTTATTCAGTAACATTGAAGAGATTTATGCTGTGAACGTCTCTTTCTGGCTCAGTACTTTAAAACCAGTTATGAACATGGTACGTTTATTCATTTTTTATTGTAGTTAAGTGAATATAAGCCAGCCACCACCAACTGCAATCTAGTACGACCGTGTACCTAATTATTACTAATATTTGAATTCGTGTTTTGTAGGCAAGGCGCAATAATAAGTTGTTAGATTCATTCTACATGTCAGACGGCTTTTCAACGGTAGGTTTTTATATTTAAATAAAATATTACCACAGACTGTTAAATTTGATATGTTAAATCTAGCTTGCTTGGAATGGCAAGAGAAATAATTAGACCGATTTCTGGGACCGCAGTAATTACCCCCTGCCAGTTGTGTATAATAAATATGGCAAAGTTTGTAAATTAACTTAAATTAAATTAATTTATTTTTGTTTAGTTTGATAGTCAATTTGAGCCGTATCTCAAGTACTGTATGGAGGAGTCTAATTGTACGAAATACTTTAAACAAAAAAGATCAGAAGACGAACTTTTTAAATTATATGTTGAGGTGAGTTTGTAAAAACTGGTTTATAAACTCTTGCCTTGGTGATGATTAATTTCGGTTGATTTTTTGTATCATTCTTACATTACGATAATATTATTTTATCTGAACAGTGGTGTGAAGGTCGTCCTGAATGCAAGAGACTAAAGTTAAGTGATCTTCTTGTGAAACCCATGCAAAGATTGACAAAATATCCATTGTTGTTGAAAGCGATTTTGAAGAAAACTGTGGATGAAGAGAAAAGGAATGAAATCACGTCAATGGTAGGACTGATAGGTCTTTTTTTTTTTCTTCTTTTCCAAACCTGTTTTTCTATTTTTCAAGTCATGAAGATACATGCATGCATGCAGGGAGAATATATAGCATTGAGATTGTTTCAACAAAAATCTTTGTTTTTAGACCTCAACAGTGCAGAAGTTTGTTAGTAAAGTTGATGGGTGTATGAAAATACGTCATGAGAAAGAAAACCTCAATAAAGCAGCGGTAAAAATCGAAAGCTACTGGCCCGTAGATCCCGTCAGTGATGAAGTTGAAAAGGTAATTTGTTCAGTGAAGTTGATATATTTCATCTTACCACGCATTTCGGCCAGTTTTATACTGTAAGTTGAAGGGGTTTTAAAATGTTGTGAAAATTTTTTTCGTAGCTGCTTATTGACAACTATTGTGACTTTGATCTTTCTCGAGCAATGCCTGGTGCTTGCGAAGAACAGCATCGATGTCTTATGTATAATGGTGCACTTCGTCTCAACGAAAAACAAGGAAGGGTGAGTAACCCTGGCTACAGGCTTTTTATATATCTCATTGAGTTTAGATGTGGTATAGATCTCAGTCAAAACCTTGTATATGCATAAAATAAAGCAAGTGGGAACATTCTTCCTGACTTTCCTATTTCTTCACTTCTAGATGGATATACACGTTTTTCTCTTTACTGATATGTTATTGTTAACCAAAGCCAAGAAAACAGACAAATTCAAAATTGTAAAACCGGTGAGCAGTTTGTTTATCCCAGGGCTAGGGTACTAATTCCGCCCGAAGTTGCGAAATTGAAGCAGCGAATTCAAATATAAGTCTTACTTGAGTTCACTGAATTGAAGTTGTCCGCCATTATGTCTTGGACGTTGGGCGTTTCTGTGAGTTATGCACACAGAATACAGTAAGTAATAGATATTAATAGATATCTATTACTATATATATATATATGATGCGCGTGCGTGAGTTTAGGACGAGTTGAAAAATGGTAACTAGCATACGTTGCAAACGTGCGGTTGGCTGAATCTGATATTTTTGCTCGCTGATTGAAGGAGGATATACAAAGATGCCTTTCGACAGAAAAACTTGGATGGTAAAATATATGGCGGATGGTAAAATATATCATTGAGAATTAAATGCCTCATTTAGGCGATGGGATTTTGCATTCACGTATTTCTAGTATTATTACTAATGGCGTTCTTGTGAATGTTACCTCGAATACTGCATTAACGTCTCTTTTTTTATTTCACTTTTTAAGCCTCTTCGCATTGACAGGGTAAAAGTTCATGTTCTCAAAGATCCAGGAACATTTTTGTTGGTTTATTTAAATGAATATCGTGTAGTGGTATCAGCCTTTGTGTTACAAGCTGCCACTCCAGTCATACAATCAAAATGGATTGAAATGATTGATAAAGCAAAGGTAATATTTGTTAACTGATATACTATAATAGATACTCGACTTATTTTGATGGCTGTTTGAACTGAATGATGTCTTTTTGCTTGCAGAACCTATATCGTGCTGTCCTGAAAAGTGACGGAAGTAAATGTTTAACTGCTGACGACGCTATCGTCCAGTCCCCTGAGGCTACGCCAATTCAATCACCGACTTTGAAACCAAAACGCAGGAAGAATTCCGGCGAATTTTTGGACGTTCCAGCGTTGTCATCATCACCCCAGTTACGACGTCATTTGTCGGGCTCTGACGGAAATCTTGCAGTCGCCGGGCTTTCGGAGAGTTCTCGGGGAACTGTCGTTCGTAGAGCATCGTGTAACGAACGTAAAACGAAATCAAAGCAAGACAACTTGTATCGCAGACCTAGGGCAGATAGTAAGGTAACACGATCAACATCTGACCCGCATAATAAACCTACCCGCGAGGATGTTCTTCACTCAGGCAGATTATCACGATCGTCATCAGCTAAACAGGCAAACATGATTTCTGATGGTGAACTGCAAATGTTGACTGAGTCATCGGTAGACCTCGAAAGTCCGCGATCAACAACAAGTGCTTCTGAATTGGAAAGTGTTGATATGGACCAAATACTAATGTCTTTGTCACCTGAGAGCGAGGTTTCTCCTCATCATATTGATGATATGTCTAAAGACAAACATTCCGTTAGAGATGAGAGAGAAGCTGAAAAATTGAAACTTTTACTGGCTCAAAAGCTAAGCAAGCCTGCCAAAGACGACGAGACTTCGCCTCGCGAGGGCTCAAAACGTAGCACGCGAGGTCACGGAGAACGAAAGCGTGTTCCGCGAAGTTCGTCCGTGGAACGCGGAAGAAAACTGGGTGAGCGCAAACTTGCTATAGACGCTGGACATGCAGAAACTGCGGGAATGATCTCAGAAAAAGAAGGTCGTAAAACAAAATTGTCTCGATCATCTTCAGGTAGTCGACAATTACCAGACCCAAGTCAAATTTCCGGGAAGTCACGAAGTTTGCCGAAGGCTGAAGGAAATGACATTATTGACGGAGCTAACTGCAACGGTGTCGAGATTCCTGGAAATGTATCTAGACTTTCTAAAAACGAGTCTAGTTCTGCATCACAGGACACAACAGATCAGTACGAGCATTTACGATTTAGTCCTGGTGCTCAGGCCCCACCTATAAAGGCTCCGTTGATCACAGGCTTACCTCTGACCAGGAACGGGAGTAACGGTACGGATATTTCTCGGAAACGCAATCAACATTCAAAGCGTTCGCCTGTGTTATCTAGGAAATCTACTGACCTCGTTAGAAACTCTATGGACGATCAATTATTAGAACCAAAAACATCGCCACCTCTAAGACGCGCTAAGAGCGAAGCGGATACACCTTTGGAAAATTTACGCTCGAAACACAAACATTCCCGGAACTCAGATGCCGCGAAAACCACAGAACATCTACGAAATTTAGAGGACAAAAATGTTACAAATTCTGAAAATCTTCGAAATACAGAGGGGAACAATTCAAAAAGCGCTGAAAGGCACTCTGACAAAATAAGGTCACGTTCCAGGAAATTGGAGCACGACACAACAAGAAGACCTAATCATGGAGATGATGTCGGTTCCAGAAAACTTAATGATCTTTTGCAAGATGCGAATATCTCGAATTCTACGAATTCGTTAGAGGATTCTGGTGTTTCAAATACGGTGGAAAAACCTCGTAGACAGATGAAGAAATACCGAGGTCGTGATCACAGAAAGCTTGTTGAGGCTGATGGCAAGGTGTCAGATGTTGATGGATGTGTTGTGAATCAAGTTTTAGAACCGTTAATGCTGGAGTCTTCGTGAGTATTATGAAATTTTAAATTTGTATAAAGTCTGCTATTGTTGAAGTATGCCATCTGGATCGCACAGGAACCTTAATATTTTTAATTCTTTTCCAGAGAGTATGTTTGAAGATCCGGAAGCGAAAAGATATTGTTTTCTGACTGAGATATGGAAACCTGAATTGCCTCATTTAAAAAAGCTAAGGTTTAGGACGTTGAGAGTTTGATCGTGTATGACTTGTAACTAACATGTCGAAATTTATTAATATATATTATGTTCAAACTATTTATACTATAATGTTAATTTATATCCATTTATGACAAAACACAGACAAAACCTAATATGTCAGTTGTACTAGTTTTCATTTTGTGTAAATAGAGGATTTTGTATGATTGTATGATTTTTTGTAATTAAATCAATGAAAAATATTTCCTTTTTCAACGTTCTCTATGATATTTTAACTGAAGTTTGAAGTACAACATGAACAGCATGCTTCAAATATTGGAACTGAGTAGGAGTACTTCCATAGAAGTAGACTTGCTCCATAGAAATGGACCTGCTCAAAAGAAGTAAGCCTGCTCAATAGAAGTAAGCCTGCTTCATAGAAATGAGCCTGCTCCAAAGAATTAGGCCTGCTCCATAGAAGTAAGCCTGCTCCATAGAAATGGGCCTGCTCCAAAAAATTAGGATTACTCCTTACCATTTTGGTCAATTTTGACGACTTTTTGAACTGTTCAAAAACTGTCTTAAAATGCTAAAAATGGCTTCCTAAGACTAATATTTTTCATTTTAGAGCACATTTGGTTCGTTTTTGGAACAATGAAATAGTGGTCTAAATTGACCAAAATGGTAGGGCTTACCCCTTAGCATTTTGGTCAATTTTGACGACTTTTTGAACTGTTCAAAAACTGTCTTAAAATGCTAAAAATGGCTTCCTGAGACTAATATCTTTCATTTTAGAGCACACTTGGTTGGTTTTTGGAACATTGAAAAAGTCGTCAAAAATGGTAAGGCTTACCCCTTAATATTTTGGTCAATTTTGACGACTTTTTGAACTGTTCAAAAATTGTCTTAAAATGCTAAAAATGGCTTCCTAAGACTAATATCTTTCATTATAGAGCACATTTGGTTGGTTTTGGGAACAATGAAAAAGTGGTCAAAATTGATCAAAATGGTAAAGCTATAACTTGAAGGCAAAATTAGCCTTTCTCACGATGACGAATATGCCGTCATTTTTGGGGTACTTTTTAAAAAAACCCGTGAGTGTATAACTTCGTAACGGCGACTATCTTAAATTTTAGGCTGGAGTTATTTTTCAAATGGTCTGTTGATTCTAAAGAAATTCCGTTTCATGTCGCTATAATTTTTTAAACACATTTGAGAAAATTGAAAGTACCCCAAAAACGTCATCGTGACAAAGGCTAATTGAGGACTTTTTCAATGTTCCAAAAACTAACCAAATGTGCTCTAAAATGAAAGATATTAGTCTTAGGAAGCCATTTTTAGCATTTTAAGACAGTTTTTGAACAGTTCAAAAAGTCGTCAAAATTGACCAAAATGGTAAGGGGTAAGCAAATATGGTAATGGTAAGCCTTACCATTTTGGCCAATTTTGACCACTTTTTCAATGTTCCAAAAACCAACCAAATATGCTCTAAAATGAAAGATATTAGTCTTAGGAAGCCATTTTTAGCATTTTAAGACAGTTTTTGAACAATTGAAAAAGTCGTCAAAATTGACCAAAATGGTAAGGGGTGGTTGCAAGGCCAACGCCATCCAGAATATGGAGTCCTAATCATTTTGTTCTATTATTGCTAGCCAAGGAACTGCCAACGATGTCATTTATTGTTATCAGTTAACTGGACTTTGAGAGTTTTCTTGCAAAATGTTTGCCAAGGTAATTATTATAACAGATCATAAAGGCCTTTTAATGTTTCTCATGGTATACTGATCTGTGTTGTTTTCTGTGATTAAGTGATGTTTTTCTTCATGTTGTTTATTACTGAAGCTAAAGAATTGAGATACAACAATCTTTGACTGACTTTAGGTGTAAGACGTTCGCCCAGCTATTGTAGACCGCATGGAATCGATTCAATTCCTTTAAAAATTTGTGAATCAAGATGAATATGAACTTAGTGAATCTGTAATTGCTGCTATATGTTTTGGCTAAAATATAAAAAAAACTGTTGTATGTCTCCAAAACAAAGGAGCTTATATTTATGATACCAAAAAGTACAGGATTGTTTGACATCAGAAATACAAAGAATTCGGCACACAGCGACAATTCAAAAGACAACTTTTTTCTAGGCTTTTAGCAATTCGTTTATAGTAACATCGCTCACGATGATGTTCGGAGTTGATCGGCATGTTGTCGTACATTATCATACCACGTGATCTGCTATGATCACATGGTAATTATCGCCGATAAAACTAATCTCAACGTTAAAAAAAAATTTCTTTAGATTGGTGGCGATCGAAGGTGGACAGCAAGATCGAAGCTCAGCAAGATTGAAGATTGTTCCAGGAAGAAGGAGTTCGCCGTTGACTAAAAGGTGGGTTCCGGCGATTATATGCGTAATCTGCGGTTGCTTTGTCCGACCCCAGTAGGGGGACCGTTTGCCTAGAGCGTTTTGGTCCCCCGCACGCTGCTAGTTGACTAGTTCCCACTTGTAGGCCTTTACACTAATCTACGGGAAGGCCGTAGGCCTTCCTTAAGGAGTACAGTGTAGCTGAGCCGAACCCTTTTTTTCGTTGTATATAGGTTTATCTGAACAGCTAGTTGTCAAGATGAAGGTGAAGACTCGCCCGGCAAATTCAAAATGGCGATGCCAAAGAAAACCATCCACGTGGACCGTTCGCGGACCTTTCTGAGCAAGATTGTTGTGCTGTCTGGTCAAAGTTAAGTATTTTACTTTGATGTTTGTGTGCCTTCTGCTAATTGTTGGCCAGAAGTAACAAAAAGCCATATACAATATGAAATATTCTGCGTACAAGGTTATCTAAAGTTTCGACCTTAATTCTGCCTGCAATCAGTGCAATGATGATAATTTTTTGCTGAAAATTTATGTCATGAGCAATTTCCGCACCCATAGACTGAACCAGAACTGAACATTTTGTCATTAACGTTTATCTCAACAGCCAGTTATCAAGACGAACGTCAAGAGAACAGTTGAAATAGAAAATAGAAATCAGTTGAAGACTCGCCCGGCCGCCGAATTCAAAATGGCGATCCCATCCACGTGGACCGTTCGCGGACCTTTCTGAGCAAGATTGTTGTGCTGTCTGGTCAAAGTTAAGTATTTTACTTTACTGTTTATGTGCCTTCTGCTAAAACTAGACAATAATTAAGATAGTTGAAAATGCAATTTTATATTAATAATGTCTTCTTATATTCAAGATTTTCTTTGGTCAAGACTCAAGAGTGCAACATGAACTGTGGATATGAACTTTACTGTCAGATGAACATTGGAAGTGACAAGATTTCTGCACCGAGGTAATTCGATTGTTCCTTCAAAAGTTATATCAGCCTTGCAGCTGAAATTCTTGTAGTGAACTTGTAATACATATCAACTGCCCGGGTATATATTTTGTTATTTAGTATAAGGGGGAATTTGCTGCAACTAGGATCTTTTTTTGGAAAATCGTCAGGCAGTCACAAATTTTGTTAAGATTACTAAGTTAACATTGCTTCTATGCTCACTATGTGTCACCAGTAATAAATTCCTGTGGTGGTCTTTAAATAAATATAGCAACCATAGTTATATGTGGAGGGATGAGGTATAACCATAGAATACCTGACCAAAAACTATACAATAATTAAGATAGTTGAAAATGCAATTTTATATTAATAATGTCTTCTTATATTCAAGATTTTCTTTGGTCAAGACTCAAGAGTGCAACATGAACTGTGGATATGAACTTTACTGTCAGATGAACATTGGAAGTGACAAGATTTCTGCACCGAGGTAATTCGATTGTTCCTTCAAAAGTTATATCAGCCTTGCAGCTGAAATTCTTGTAGTGAACTTGTAATACATATCAACTGCCCGGGTATATATTTTGTTATTTAGTATAAGGGGGAATTTGCTGCAACTAGGATCTTTTTTTGGAAAATCGTCAGGCAGTCACAAATTTTGTTAAGATTACTAAGTTAACATTGCTTCTATGCTCACTATGTGTCACCAGTAATAAATTCCTGTGGTGATCTTTAAATAAATATAGCAACCATAGTTATATGTGGAGGGATGAGGTATAACCATAGAATACCTGACCAAAAACTATACAATAATTAAGATAGTTGAAAATGCAATTTTATATTAATAATGTCTTCTTATATCAAGATCTTTTCAAGACTCAAGAGTGCAACATGAACTGTGGATATGAACTTTACTATCAGATGAACATTGGAAGTGACAAGATTTCTGCGCAAAGGTAATTCGATTGTTCCTTCAAAAGTTATATTAGCCTTGCAGCTGAAATTCTTGTGGTGACCTTGTAATACATATCAACTGCCCGGGTATATATTTTGTTATTTAGTATAAGGGGGAATTTGCTGCAACTAGGATCTTTTTTTGGAAAATCCTCAGGCAGTCACAAATTTTGTTAAGATTACTAAGTTAACATTGCTTCTATGCTCACTATATGTCACCAGTAATAAATTCAAATAAATATAGCAACCATAGTTATATGTAGAGGGATGAAGTATAACCATAGAATACCTGACCAAAAACTAGACAATAGTTAAGATAGTTGAAAATGGAATTTTATATTAATCATGTCTTATTTATATATCTATATTCAAGATTTTTCTTGGTCAAGAGTGAAACATGAGCTGTGGATATGAACTTTACTGTCAGATGAACATTGGAAGTGACAAGATTTCTTCACAGAGGTAATTTGATTTTGTCATGGATGGTCAGCATTTGATTTTAAAAAGCCACTACATTGTTGAGATGACAACTATGAAATCGAAATTTGCTTCTATGGTCACCATGTGTGAAACCAATGATGAAACTTGATGCTATAACAGCTGAACCAGTCTGGCTGATTACTAAAATTCCTGTGGTGGTCTTACAATTAATATCCACGAAAAAGTGGGAGAACTTGGGAGAAATTTTTCTGATTTCCCTGTGATTTATATTCTGTAGTACTCAGAAGGGTGATACCCAGTTTTTCTGTGTTCAAATAAAATAGTGACATATGTCTGGGTTGAATATATGCATGTGACACATTCTTTTTATTGAAAATGGCAAAAATATAATTGGCATAAAACAGATAACTAAAGTAAGATAATGAGTAATATCTTTTAATAATGATGTCAGGTTGAAAATACAAACTTTGCTGCCACTTTTTGCCTAAAAGGATTGATGAAATGCTTTTTCTCTTTAGAATGAATGAAGTTGAAGAAAGTTGAAAGGCACCCCTGAAGA